AACTTGCAGTTAGTGCCAGTCATGTCCTGACCAGCAGGAAAAACTTCATACCTCAATGATGATCTGTCTCTCCAACAAGGTATAATGGTCTTGGATGTGGGAGGTATCCTCAGCTGAAAATGGCAGCCTGGCAGACATGGAGGAAGGAGACGCTGTCAGCAGCTCTTAGCACAGTACACTTAGAAGGATGCTCTCCTCTACCAAACATGCCCCCCCACCCAGACAGAGATGTGGGAAACACCTCCCATTCTCCCCAGCCTGAGAGGCTAGTAGGTACTCTCCAACTGGTGCTCTCCTAGACAGGCTCTAGAGAAGGAAAAATTATGTGGCATCTCTCACAGAACAACCTAAAGCTGATGCTACCAATTTCAAGTGCTCAGGTATGCAAGCTTTCATCCTTCACAACCTGAAGGGTCAATGATCAGAAGGTTCCCGAAGCATCTTTGCCCCCAAGTAAGCAGCAAAAGCTGCTGGACTAGTGATCACCCCAAATTCTTCCTCTCTGATCTACATTGTGTCCACAACACTGCATTCCCACCAAGGCAAGACCAACATTAGCTCTCAAACTTAAGCTGTGGTGCTGGGACATAAGTCTAATTTCCTTTACTACCACCTTCTGTGAAGCACTCACATCCCTCCCACCCTCTTACATTTTTTCTTACCCAATGCAGCCTTTCAGAAATTCCCTCCTTTTTTCTACATCCTGGATGTTCAAATGCTCCCGGTACTGGGACAGCTGAAGGAGACGGAAAAGAAGCAGTGTCTGTTCTCATGGATTTGGGAGATAGAGGACTCCAGAGGGCAAAATGGGGATGCAAAGCTCTCGCTTGACTACAGACATCCTGCAGCCAGCCTCCCCCTGCCCACTACGTTCCCTCTTCACTGAGGAAAGGGAGCTTCTGCTCCTGGGAATACTTACAGCAACTTCCTCAGTCCTGTCTAGGAACCTGCAAAACGGAACAAGCAAACATTAACTTGGAGGCAGGTTCCTAGCAGCATGCTCAGCCCTGCCACAAGGCTGGGCAAGAGCCTCACCTGAGCAGATCCAGAAGCAACTTCTGCTCACCCGTCTCTTTGAGGAAATGGATCAGATGACACAAGGCCACCTGCCGCACCTCCAGCTCCCGAAACAAGATCTCTATAGGAGAGAAATATGTAAAGGTGGGTAAAGTAAGTTAGCAATACCATGCAAACCAGAGGGGGCTAAGCATGGTTCATGGAGTTGCAAGCCATTGGCAGGATTCAACAACCTTGTCCCATCTCAAAGCACAGTCTTGGAGGCTAGAGCACAGAACAGCCCATTCACTAGGTTGCCAACTGAATTCACAGGAGTGTGCTACCCCTACAGATTCATTTTCATTCACCCCATCACCACTACCACCTATCACTGCTTAAAGCTCCTCTCTGGAGCCTTCATGGGCATCACCATTCCCCCTCCCATGTTATACTCACTGCAAAAATATTTCATGCTCAGTAAAGCAGCAGCACCCCAGAAGCTGTCTTTGTGAATTGTACCCAGTGAAAGAACTAGCCCCTCTGCCCTTAACCGAAACACACTATAGAAACCCTGGCAGCAGTCACACTTACCTCTCCTTAGTGTCCGTTTTAGGAATATCAGGACCTGTGAGCACAGAGAAGCGGCTCTCAGCTGACCAGATCAGCCTTCACCAGAATTAAGACAAACAGACAGTAAACTGGTCAAGGCCTGGAGAAGCTTTTGCAAAGGGCCTCTGAAGACACAGCTCTTACAGCACTGGACTAAATTCTGCTACCCACTAGACACAGGACAAGCAGTAAGCCAGGGCCACAGCTGCCTGGATGCCTGCCTAAGCTCCTACTCTGGAGATTAGATAAGTGAGACCAAGATTGACAAAGAAAAACCTTTCTGTGAGAAATCCAAGGGCTTAAAAGACCTGGACGAGGGAAGCTCTGACACAGTCTCACTTGCTGCCTGATGCTTTGGAAGCCAGATAAACTGGAGAGGCCCTCAAATCTCTTGTGCTGCAATAAGCAGATTAAACCTTGTCCTTCAAGAAGTTACTGCAAAGATCTGTCAGGCTGAAGGATCAGGTTCATTGTTATTAACTTGACATGAATTCTGCAGAGTGGCAGGAAAGCCAGTGGGAATATGGAACTTGCCAGTCTTAAGCTTTGACACTTTTCAGGAACTTCTTGGTTTTAAGTAAAGAACAACCCTCCCATCTTGCAAGATTAGGTGGGCAACTGACTGCATTCACACAAGCACCCTCTGTGGGGTCACCCAGGAAATCCCAGCCCTATATGGCCCCAGCAGGACTCACAGCTGTAATGACATTCCCATCATGCCCTGCCACAGCTTCATCCAAGAGCACCAGCTTGTCCTGCAGGGAGCGAAATCTCTCTAGAGAGCAGACCTGGAGACAGAAAAGGTATAAGTAGGCATACGGGCCATCAGACAATCCCCAGGCCGAACGAGCCCCCAAGGTACTACTTATTCTTCCCCCACAAGCCCTTCAGCAACATTAATAACCGCCCTCCGAACCAGTGCAGAACTTCTCATTCAGCTGAAACCACATGCTGCGTGATCCCTGGGAATCTGTCCACAGGAGTTGCAGAGTTAGCCCTCATTACTGCCCAGGCTAGGACATCAGACATTGTACATTCAGCACAGACACCCTTGTAACAAGGCAAAACTTCCATGCACACCACAAACCACCAGCCCTGACATAAGAAGGGAACTCTGCAGGACCCTTTCCACGAGGAGACCAGAAAAGTAGAGGTGTAAGACTCTTCCTCCCTTCTTTTTACCCCATAATTGTGGCCTCTCTCAGCATTTAGTTCACCTCAGCCTTTGAGGACACATGCAGAGTAAAACCACAAGCTCCCTATGTGCTCACGGCAAACTGAGGCAGCTGAGACTAAGATTGCAGCTCCAGTGTAACCAAGATTGCTTCTGTCTTCCTCCCTCCATTTGCCATCAACTAAGAAGGGAAGTAAAGCCCCACGCCCTCAGATTTTTTCCATAAACCCAGCCCCAAGGAGCAGAAAGGGTAGAGAGGGGCACAGCAGTACAGACACCTCCTGTCAGAGCCTAGGTGAGGGGACAACTCAAGTAAACAATACAACAAAACCCTGTTAGAGCCTAGGTGAGGGGACAACTCAAGTAAACAATACAACAAAACCCTGAAGGTCTCCTGCTGCTCCTGAGCTAGTGTGATCCCAGCACTGCCACCTGGCAAAGCAGCAGAGAGACAGAACACCATCCCTGCTAGATGCTGCAAGCAACACAGATCCCCTCCCTGCTCCCAGAACAGCCAGGAGCATACGGAAGTGTAAAGCAGTTTAGGACCACCCACCCTCTGTCTCTTGCAAGCAGGTGTGAGTAGAAAGTCCTTACCTTGCCCCTCTGCATTCGCCTGACGCTGTCTCTGGGGCTCCAATCACTGCTGTAATCCTGCCACAAGAAAAATGAGGTTTAAGAGCTCCTTAAGAGGCCAGACCACACCAGCAGTCCACAAGGTGCTTCCCACTTGTGCTGGATCAGAGCGATGGCCCACACATAGCTTCTCAGACTCGTCATTCAGCTGCACCAGGGGCACTGTTAGTAGGATGTGTCCCTACAGTGTTCAGGTGCAGATGCTGGACTCTCAGACTCTGCGTGCTGGTGGGGAGGGAAGCTGGAGGCTCAGACGTTAACACAGAGTCTTTCTATTGCCTCAGTAAGGTCCATCATCATATCTTTTATAAGCAGCATGTTTCAACAGGTTGTCCTCCTTGTAAATTAAAGCTCCAATGTTGCTTTCAGAAGGACAGACAAAATACATGCAAAATTGATAAACCAAAAACTGAGGGGGAAGGAGTCAGTTTCTGGTTACAATTCAGACAGCTGGTGAGCCTTCCACAGCAGCGTGGAGAATGCAGGGATAACAGCTTCAAGCAAGTGCCTGGAGAGTCGCACAGGACTAGTAAAATGTGACAAGAGATCCATCTAAGGAATATGCTACCGCTGCTGCAATGACCAAAGTTCTTACACTGCAGCCTGAAGACACTACGATGTGGAAGCACTGGACAAAAAGCGGTGGTGGCCTGCGCCACTCCTAAGCTCAGACTCCAAGACGGTACCTAAGTCTTTGTGAGGCACTCAAGCGCGCGGTTGTAATTCAGCATTCTGTCTGAAGAGCCAGAGAAATGAAGTAACCAGAACCAGCTCTGAGGACATTGAATTTTAAATTCATTGAAGATATATCGAAAGCCCAAATCTAAAGAAAAAAGGGCTGACTCATTCCTATTAAGGGACCACCATGCACGAGTCTCTCAAGTCAATGTATAGCTGACTGTCAAGTGCCCTGAGCACTAAGGTTCCCTCCAGCCCCTTCGGCCAGGGGCAGCTCCTCAGCCTGTCACTGCCAGGACACTGTTTCAAAGCTGCCGGTAACTTTCCTTTCTTTGTTCCACCCCACTTACAATACTCCTACCTGCTTTTAAAGGGTTGTACAACCCTTTTCCTTCAGGCTTCACTGCCTCTGCAGGCACAGAACACAACAGGGTGCATTTATTTCCCTGCTGTGCTTTCAGGAAGTGCTGCCTGTTAGGTTATGTGATTAATGGCTGATCAACATAAACACATCACCCTGGTGAGGATCAGATAGCCAAGGACAAGTGGAGAAAACCCAGTAACCTAATCAGCGCAATCTGAGCACGCTGAATTGGCCACTCCTTGCCACCATCAAATGAGACAGATTAGGTCATTATCTGTTGTGTGCAACCCTTCAAGATGAGTAAACCAAAGAAACTTTCCCCAAACACTACGCAACCCTTAAGAGGCACAGGACTTAGTATGACATGCAGGCGAAAGAGAATCCTAGGGTGTTTTAAGAGGGTTGTGTAAATGTGTGAGGCTTGTTATGGAAGTATGGGAAAGATAAAAAGCAGGGAAAGGGAGGGATCAAAATGAATTGGGCAGGAACAAACATGGGAAAATAGAAGGAAAAGGGGCCATAGCGTGTCAGGCAAGTTTAAACAAGTGGCTAGTTACTGTGCCTGTCTGACTGAGCCCTGCAATGGATCACTGCAGTCTGTCTTATATTCTCATTAAAATCTATATTTAACCACCTTCTGTGTGGGTGGGCTCTCTATTCCAAGTGTATGTGTTTGCATGACTGCTAGTGAACTTCAAGCTCAACCAGCCAGTGAGTAGAGTAAGCAGTCTGAGTACCAGGAACCAGAATGGAACCATCAACCCTAGGCGCTCAAGGGTCCAGGTTCCAGCACTTGCAGGAGACTAGGGTTTGGGATTCAGCTACAAAACAAACTGGATGTCTAAGACCAGCTACTGGAGAGACCCATAGAGTGTGTGTATGTTCCACTAGTGGAATTCAATCCTGGTCAGACAGAAAGGAGGCTCAGGATCAGGACTGAGTGTGTGTGTTTATGTGTCTGTTGGTAAAAGCATTGGTTTCTGCCTGTGTTAATCTGTGTGGGCAGCTGTGTTAGTATTGTGCATGTCTGTATCTGTAGGGAATATGTGCCCAGTCCTGTTACTGGCTGGACCTGGGGACATGGAACCACAACCTCACACCTAATAGGAGGAATCCACCCAGTCCCAAAATCCACTAGATTCTGCAACACCTAACACTGGCTATCTAGGAGAAGAACATTCCTGCCAACTGGAACTCCAGTACTGTGCAAGTCCCTCTGTGCTGTCCCAGTGAGTCATGAACACAAAATTTAGAAGCCTTTGGATTCCAAAAATTTAAAGAGCACATGTGATGCCGGTTCATCTCAGCCAGTATGAAAGGAGCTTACAGGCAAAGCACTATTTAGAAATTCTCTTCACAAAGACTGCTGGGCCATTCATTAGGAGAAGGAATAACTAAGACCCCTAAGCAAAGCTCCCTACTTCTGAGGAAAAGCAGAGAACACCTAAATTACTGTGAGGCTGCATTTTGCAGCTCCTTGTCCTATTCCCTGCATTGCCCTCTGCTGTCTGAAATAGCGATTAATCATTTCCCATGAAGCCACTAGCGCAGGAATTCCTCCTGGCAGTACTCTGATGTCAGCACACTACAAACACAGGCCACTCACCTTGTACTCAGCTTTCGGTCTGCGCAGCTCCGGGGCGTAGTTTTTAACTCCGATGTCAGAGAGGGCTGAGAGGGAAAAGCAAAGCTGAGTAGCACATCAAAATCCTGATTCACACCCACTTCCAAAACTGCCCTTTTCTTGGTTTTTGTGGTAGAAGACCCAAACTCAAGCATCGAATAGCAACACAAAGTTTCTCTAAACCCAACAGTCATCAGTTGTACATAAGCAGATTACCCTGAACCATTATGCCAACTCTTTCGCTTCTTTGCTGAACGACTTTCAAACAACCCATGATTCAGTTTCCCTTTCTGCAACATAAGGAAGATGACACTTCCTTTTTTTTTTGGAAATGCCTCGGTTTACATAAAACTGCACGCCTCCCAAAATGGGCAGGGATTCAAAACTTACCATCTGAAAGGGACTGGAAACTTGGAAGTTTGCTTCGTCCTGAAATCAAAACAAATGCTCATGACAGAGTGTATCTTCACCAGCAACATCTCTTGCAGAGGGAACACAAGCCTAAACTGCAAGCCAGTGCGCTGCGGCTATGCCACTGTGGAACAAGCCACTCTGTATAGTGATTCATGCTACACTGGCATAGCTGGGGCTCACCTGCTTGCAGTCTAAGACTTTGAAGTTGTCTGTGGCATCACAAACCATATCACACCCCAGCCCTATCTGCCCTCTTGATGGTGAGGCCAGGAGAGGTTAGAGAGCCTGAATTCACTCGTCTACCTGCAGAGCAGAGGCTCAAGCACACACCACTCCTTACGCCATGGCAACACGGACAGCTTCATTCACCAGGGCTGCGATTTGGATGCCTTTCATTAGCATTGTATTATCAAAGTTGAGAGCAAAAAAACACCCCAAAGAAAGACAGACAAAGTAAAAACTGGTTTGTTTTCTGGCTGTGAGATAACAGAGCTGAACTCTTGCAAGCTGTGTAAGTCTCTCCATGGCCTGTTGCATAGTTCCCCCATAACCAGCTATACTACCACTGCTGCTACCATGTGTTTGCTGAACCAGCTGTAACATCAACAGCAACCAGCTGAGCTCCAAATAAAGGATAATCACCCTGTCTTCTCTACAGTACTGAAGATCAAAGTACTGAGGGCCAAGTGGGTTGAGCTAGTCCCTTTGTAGCCTGCCCTTTTCCACCATGCAAAGGGATTGCTGTACAGTGCTGTGCTCTACCTTGCTGTTCTGTGGAACTTGGCTTTTAAGAAGGCATAATCTCCAAAGCCCCCCTCCCATACCACAGGAGTATGCAATCTTCTGCACAAGACAGTCTCCAATTTCTGCTCAGTGAGAGATTCACTCCCACACTGAGGACAGATCAGAGCTTCCCTGTTTTGCAACATGCTTAACAGAAAACGATTTACGTAAGATAACACAATTGGCCCTTGATGCTCCTGAGGGAAAACCCATTTGACCATATTGTACATAAGGAATCTCACCTTTGAATAGGCTGCTTAGGGAATAGGAGGAAGCTTGTTTGGGAAAAGCAGCATAGGAGGAAGAGCCCTTCTGTAGGCTGGAGTCTCGGCCCTCCAGTGAGGTAGTGCTGCTGGAGGCTGTCTCTTTGATTGACCAGGAGATACCTATGTGCAGACAGAGGTCATTTGTAACAGAGAAAGAGAAAACCAGTCTGTATAGAATGATCTTATGGCACAGCAGGCATGTTACCAAGTGTGTCCTGGTCAGTTCTGCACTAGCACATCCTGGTAACTTTGACCGTCAGCACTACGTAGATGCGGTGCACAGAATCCCAATCTCATGTCATACTGCTTGTTAAACAGCTGCGCATTGTCCTCCGGAAATGGTTGATTTCAGCAATATTGTACAGCTGGTTATGGCTTATATAAAAAAATGCATAGACCACCCAAAATTTATATGTTGTTGTATAGGGTAAAGCATAATCCTTGCTCCAAAGGTACGGAGCAAGACAGAGAATCCCTGGCTTACCTCAAATTACAGAAGCATAAAAGCATACCTTCCTGAACATTGGAAAATTAAGATAGTTTTCCTCCCCACACAGACAAAACAGCTATCAATGTGCATATGCTGCTGGCAACAATGCCTATGTCTCCCTCTTGGTTGTCTGAGACACAGTTTTCCCTTCTTTTGACACAGCTACACAACACACATGTTTTATGATGGGGTGATAGAGCAAAAAAGCCAATAGGTAGAGACCTTGGGTGGGAAAAGAAACGGTCTGAACCAGAGGGAGGAGCTACAGCACAGAACAAGAAGAACAGACTCTTTGAAGGTCTTCTGGGTGATCCAAATGTAAATTTTCACTGTTTGGCACTGGCTAGCAAGTGCCAAATATTCTGTGGGCCATGAACTCCAAAGCGCAGCAGACAGCATCGTGCATGGGTCATGAGCTTGCTCCCATCATCACTGGAAATACATTTGCTTAATGCTTACAATTCCCTTTCGAACTTCAAGCATAACAGTCAGTCTATAAACACACACTAAACCTTGGAATATCTCCTTAAAGTGCTGTGGAGACAAAGCACAGAGAACTTTAAATGGTGCCATTTCAGGCAGCAGTGTGAAGGAAATGATCACCTAGAATCCTGCAGGCCAGCTAAGTGTGATGAATATCAAGCCATAACCTCCAAAATGTATCTGCTCTAAGCTGGGCTACGTATTGGGAAAAACACAGTGAATTCCCTCCACTTGTCTACACTCCTTTACGTAACTTGGGCTTCTGCTTGCTCTCTTTTCAGTGGATCCATACTGCTAAATCAAGTGGCTCACAACGTGACGTGAGGAGACTAGAATTAGATTAGATACGCAGGATTAGGTAACAACTAGTACTCCTGACCTCGACTAAATGACATGACTAAAGCGGTAATTTTAAACTCCCTCTGTCTCAAGGATAACTTGCAGTCTTTCTGTACTTACTTCCCACAGGTTCTCCACTCCAGCTGACCCTCTCAAGGTCATCATCATCATCATCATCAACGATATCCCGAAGGCTATTCACTGCCCTTTTGGATTCCTTTAGCTACGGACAAAAGAAAGAGCTTGTATAAAGACCACCAGTGTTGTAGAGTGTGCTTTGTTTCCTATTACCTTCAAACAATCTCCCTCAGAGCTTTGAATACAGCTTCTTCAGCTTCTCCAGCCTCTTCCGGAGCAGGTATTTTACTCCTCTAGGGGTTTAAAAGACACAGCAGCCCTTCCTCACCACTGGGAATCCAAAAGCCACCGACATCTACACAGACACTGACAGCTCAACCAGAAGGATATGCAGTCTGGTGCACGGGCAAGGAATCACGGTCCTAATGAGATTTCGGTTTAGCTGCCGTGGAGGGCGAGACGGGAGCCCTTGGTGGCGCCCACACAGGGCTGGTAGCAAGCATCCACCCCACCCACGAAGCACAGACCTCCCGCGGAGCGCGGGGCCAAGGCCTAGGCTGACATGGCCACGGGGGGACCTGCCCGTGGGCGGGCTCACGCTGGACCGCGGGGCCCCGGCAGACCCGGGGTCGGACCCTACCTGTGAGAGCTCATCATCCTCGTCGTCGAAGGTGAAGGCCCGGAACTTGGAGCTGTGCCAGTACTCCTCCTCGTCCGCCCGC